CATTGGCCGACAATTTCTTAATTTATAAAAAAGGCTAAATGTTGAGATATTCATAAAAGATGTACGGTAGATGAACGATACATGTATTACGAGAAGTATGGACCAGTATGGACCTGTAATTCACGGATATATGGAACTACCGATTTCCCTCATTGATGCCTCAACAGGGGGCGGAGCGTTATCGATAATCGACAGGTTACGCGAATAGCAGATACAAATAGTATAGGTACCGTTTTAAATCGTTTAAAAACACATTTTTTGGACTAACTGCTTCCAAAATTAAATCACGAATGTGTTCAGAAAAGGTTGATAAATCTACTTAGCAAAAAATCTCATTTTAGGTATTTTCAGTGATAATTGACTCCGTTGTCACCTTAAACTTGTTAAAGGCGTTTCAGGGAATTTGAAAGCATTTTTTGTAGCATCAGATGGATTCACACCTTTTCGAGGATTTGCTCTTGACATATAGGCATACATGTAGGAATACGTGAAACACAAGATACTGTTGTTTATTGCTATCCATATCGCTATTTCTTCATTTTTTTATAAAACAAGTACATATACGTATGTACGAGGGATGATCAAAAATAAACCAGCCTGTGACTGTCAATTGAAGAATTTTCAACCTTTCACTTATTGTTATATATCACACTTAATCGGAAAACAATACTTGTAAACTGATGCTTTATCTAATCTGATAACGCAAAAAGCTTGTCCGTAACAGCGAATTCAAAAACCATGGTAACGCACACCCGGCGCAGTGCGTAAATTCGCCTTGACATCAGGCGATTTAAGCTGCGTATATTTTACAATATGGCACATTTAGATTTCAAAATACGCCAAAACGTCATATACCATATCTTTGACGTTGTCAGTAAAAATGATTTGATTTAAGTCATATTTTTATTTGCAATCACAATTCAAACGTCACATGTTAATGAAATACTCCCGTTAAAACTATGTCGTCGGAATATCTCGAAAATCGATCAATAAGAAAAAATTGTCAAAAGTAAGACGAGAAACTGTTAAAAACGTAGAAAAAGATAATGGCTATCAAGGGAAAAGTTCCAGAAATACACAGCATATTTTTTTATTAGCATAAAAAATAAGAAAGGGTAATAGAGAAATAGAAAACAAGTAAGGGAGAGACAGAAAACAGAAATTTTCAATGACGTTGGTGACGTCAATCGACAAGACGTTGAAAAATGACAGTCGATTGACTGCGGACATGGTCAACGATGTTCGACAGTAGCTACGGGACGGTGAAGTAAACTCTTAAGGATTTTAAAATGATAATAGTTAATGCATTAATTACATATATTGTATTTTTGGTTTACAATTGTAACATAGAGGATATTTGTTTGTTTTGCATGTAAGATTGAAATATAATTTCACTGAGTGAACACCAGATGCAATATTTTCACGAGTGGCGTAGCCACGAGTGAAAATATAATAGCTGGTGTTCACGAATGAAATATATTTCAATCTTAAATGTAAAACAAATAAATATTCTTTTTATTTTATGGTATTTAAGTGATTTTAAGCTATTTTTTTACTGATTTTGCCGCGTAACGTCTCGCATCTCCTTTGTGACGTCATAATATCATGACGTCACATCATCAGTTTTGAAATCTAGTTCCGTTAAATTTCTCTAATTTTGTTAAATTTCTAACATGATGTATGATGACATGGCCTTTCTTTTCCTAAAGAAGCAAAATTTACGTATGACGGCATTTATTTCTGCCTGTTATTCCATCTAGTTATGATTATCTGTTCATCCGCATTCAGATATAGTCCGGCTACAGTGAAAATTATATTTTATAAATTTCACTTGTGGTTTATCAGAATATAATCATCTGATATATTACAATAAAACACTGGAAAGCATGAAATAAAATTAATTTCTTATTTTCGCAGTAGTTTTTTGGAGAAATTGTGTCAACAATTAGACAGTCACTGTTCAAATTCGGCTATGCGTTTTATTTATTTTAAAATAATGACAATTTTGTTCATAGTTGTTAATACTTCTATTTTTTCTTATGTATGATACATTATCGTTCAGCAACATTATTTTACATTATTTGTTATACCACGGATGTCAATTAAAGTCCGTGGTTATACATAATATAATTTATTGTATGTGCAATTTTTCCAACAATCAATTTACAGAAGGAAAGAACGGAAGTTTGCGTCATTACAGGAGCTCTGTATCATCATCCATTCTTTTACAATACAATAATGATACCCACTTGTACAGAAATATATATAGGCAGTGGATCCACCGCATCAACAACGTGACTGTACCACTTATCGGCCTACTCCGTGAATGAGTAAAAAGCTGCTCCTTTAAGGACAATACGCGTGTGACGTCGTTAACGTCAATTTCAAAGTTATACCGTGCGCCGCATTGCTTTACATGTACATGCCAATAACAGCATAACTTTTTTATTTGTTTATATTTCTTGTTGGTATTTTTTGTATCATTTAGGAGATAGATTCCGATTTATGTTCCCGGTATTTTAATGTAAATTCATTTAACAGGTAAAGAATCATTTACAAAGTCCGGTTAATTTTTGATCATCCCTCGTAAATGCATGGATTATTGCACGCGGCATGACCTGCAGATGTCCTCAACAGGATTTTTGCAGCATTTTAATTTAAGATTTAAAAAAGGACTACATACTAAAATCTAAAACATGATAAAGATAATGCATTTGCCAAATAAGTGAATTATCTGATATGTAAATAAAGAAATAAGTCATTAGACAGTTGAAGGACAAAAATTAAATATACACTTCAAATGTAATCGTAATTTTACTTAGCTTATGTTAGCTATCAATTATTTAATGGACGCATCAGTGTCATAAGGACCCCAGTTATAGATCTTGCCGGTGTTGCTATTACATATGTTAATGTAAATATTTATATACTTATTGATAATCATTGTTATTTCCGTTTTTTTGAATGTTTTGTTTCAAGAAATTTGACTGTGATCGATGGTTGTTGGTTTGTAAAATCATTTATCTGTTTACTATTTTCTACTTAAATTTGTTACTCTACACGGCGTCCATTCTCGTTCTTTATTGGCGACTCATGACTATTTTGGGCCTTTTTGATAAATAGAGAATCATAAGTAATGCAACTAAGTAACAATACTATCAGGTTTACACGACAAAGTTCCAAGTTATATGTAATGATATTTAAAATTGTTCTACACAAAGAACAAAATCTGGCTGATAAGTGCTTATAGTTTAATAAGCATAAAATGTCAACGTCATGTCATGTTAATGCGCGTGACAATTAGATTCATGATTTTAATACTGATACATGTGCATAGTACTTCAAATTGTGATCAAACTCTATAGAAATATATAATACGGCAATTCCAGAAAAAAAATATATACCTTTTAAAAGTCTATCTTTTGAGGACAGAAGAACCTATTCGTCAAGTTAACGAGTGTCAGTGTCAGTAACTCTTTACAAAAAATAGACTGAAAAAAAATTACCTTAAGGCATTAATTTAAAGTGTAACCCTTTCCGTAGCATACAAAAGTGTTTTTTTTATTTTAACTCTTTCTCTCACTGAGAGCACATATATTTCTTATCAATTTCGCCAGTGTGAAATAGAATAAAACACATTTTAACTATATAGGATAAAATGAGCAACACTTTAAACATTTTCCTTCGGTTCAATAAGAAATATGGTGATATACAATTCGTCATATCTCAAAATAACCAAAATAAGTACGACATTTAAACAGATGAATAATAAAATTCATTGATAAAGCGCCTAAACATTTCGTAAGAAGTTAAATATATTGTTGACGTGTGGTAGTCATGTTGAATTTAGCTAGCTGTCATCTTACTTTATTGTTGTAGGAGTAGTTTTGATTGAGTTAGGAATACTATCTGCGGGGGAAAGTTAAGCAAATGAAGGGTTTAACTTTGATTATATTTTTTGACAATATTTTGCTCGATTTCTTTCCACGTCATTTTATAACAATAATCCCTGATTAGGTTGTCCATTGTCAACATAATACACTTTTTCAAGAAATCTGAAGGGTATGGCATTTCTATGGTTGGGAAGTTCAATATTCTACAAATTGTCGTTCGCTTCGTCAGGGAGAAAAGTTCTCCCGGGCTTAATATAATTTTGTTTTTGTAACAGCTTAGATAATTGGAAGCCTAAATCAATCCTACACGGAACTACATTTTCCGTTTTTCGAAGAAATACAACTTAAATGAATAACAAGACAAAAACATAAACAATACTTACAATTAGCCGTTTAAATCGGCCTTCCGCTCTATCTCGGAAATGCCGTTCGCTCGTTTTACCGTACACCACACTTTTGAAGTGGAGCGACAGTTTGCCGGGCGTGATTGTTAGGAAGCTGACATAAATCTGTAGATGTGACAGCTTTTATGAGCGTGTCTAACAGTATTATCCCGACAAATATTTCAAAATAATGATTTTCAGTTGTGGTTACATATAATTTACTTCTGTAATTTTTTTTCAGTATCTTTAGGAATGAATATGATCATTGGTAACAGCTGCAGTTTCTAAATGAGATGTTTAAACTTGTCCCTTATTTACTGTTTTGCATGACTTTAAACTTTAAGCTGAATCGACAGCATTATCCGACTGTCGCCGACTAGAATGCCTTCAGAGTCAGTTATCATTCATTCAAATTGTTTTATAGTGTTGAGGGTTAAATACAGTTGAATGTTGAATACTGCTTGAACTAATGCAAGGGTTGGAGTGATGAAGCACGTTATATTGTCTATCAAAAACATTTTTAATAAAACCAAATAGGCGATTTTTAATTACATTTATATTCCATACTATTTCTTTTGATTTCAATGCATTTGAGCGGTCCTTCTTAACATATGTTTTACAAGGAAACAAACAAACAAAAAAAACGAGTTCAGTGGAGTAAGATACAAAAATTCCTAACATCTTTTTAATTCCTCTATAGTTGCTTCCGTTAGGTTCTTGAAAATAACTAGCTATTATGTATTGTAAATGTTATACTTTATAGATGATGGAAACTGAAGAAACAAAGCAAACGCCGTTGCAAGATGGTCATGATTTGGTTATAAATGAAAGGTAAATGTTTTCTGATTACGTATGTGACTAAATATTAAAATATTGACAATAGTCAGAATCGATCTATTTCATATTTGATCTTACAACTCCTTCTAGATATTTATTCAAACATCGATAATTTCCGCGCTGACTGGTTTTGATGAACTCTTTAGCAGCATGGAATAACTGATTCTTGTTGTGTATATTATGTTTTCAGAACTCTTATAAGCATATCACTTGATTGAATGATGAGTAGTTTATTAAAAGTATTAACAGAGTATCAAGCTGCTTGTTCAGCGATTTATAACAAACACTTTCATCAATGTCATGGTTAGTGGTGGTGGTGGTGGTACTATAGTAGTTTTCACTCCGGATCAGGGCAGTAATCCACATTGAATTTACCAGCATCGTCCCTGGGCAGACTGTCAAGCAGTTAACCAATACTAAACTTGCCTTCACTTTCGCAAGGAACTTGATAACTTCCGTACATGCCAGAGGAGAATTACAGTGCGAATGCATGATCAATCGCAACGAAAATGACCAGCACCGTCCGAGAATCGAACCCGGATCGCCCGATGCACAGGCCAACGCTCTACGTTAACCGAACGGCTTAATGTCGTAGTTGTTTAAAGGGAAAAACAAGGTTAGAATAAAAACTTGATTTCAGAAAACGAATACTGTAAATAATAAATCTGCAAATTTTCTGCCGCCAAATAATAATATTAAACGAATGATAACGAAGTTTAAATCGCTAAATCGCCGATTTCTACAAATCAGTAGGCGCGGCCATGTTTGTGTATTGGCCGTATAAAAACAGGTGCGCGTGATGTCATTTCCCCACATCTTTAGATTTATGATAAATCTAGCTGAATCGTAGCGAAACATTTACATATTAATAAAGTATTGACCAGACAATTTAATTTTCACAGGAGGTGAAGAGGCGATTTTTTTATTGTTCAAAATACGTAACAATATAAAAAAAAAAAATAAACAAATAAAGAAACAAATAAAAAATCAACGTCTACCGGTCGCACCACTTCAGGCCAGTGATGCCCGTTACTCCAAACAATGCTATTTTCATTAAAGTCTCATCTTAATGTAATTAATAAATACACATGTTATTATTTAAATTGAATTGAATTGAATTGAATTGAATTTAACAAAGTTTCACAATCAAATAATGCAATTAAATAAACAAACGCACCAACGAATAATTGGCTGTTAATTATTGAACGGCGATAATTATCATTATTATTAAAATCCTACTAAAACGTGTTCTAAATAGTACATGTAATTAAATGTTTGCAGTTTGATTCTGACTTTCAAATGAAAAGGTGTGAACATATGTTAGTAGTGATGTACACATTTCAAAAATATAAGCAACTCTTTCGAAAAGTAAATTGTTTACATGTCTGTCAACGTATGATGCTTCGTGGTATTTATTTACATCGTAATCGTAGCCTAATATTAACTGCATGCAAAACATTTTTATTGGCTGCTCAAAAATCTCATTTGCATAATTTATTCACACAATTGCTGGTTCTTACTACTTATGACTAATACTGTGTATTATCCATTTTAATTGTTCATAATTTGCACCAAATGTTCCTGTCACACTGTGTACTAACGGTTTTTATTGCTCCTTGTATGCCTCTGTGCCGACAGAACTTTTGATCATGCACAATGTTGCCCTGATTGGTTAATCACCCTTCAGTTGTCAAATATTCTAATGACGAAATAGACATATTTTTTTACGCTTCATCAGTGAACTGAATGACCTTAGGGTAGTCAAGTTATACTGTAAATTACAGCATTTCATACAATAGCAACACACTTTTCAGTTACCAATAATCATTTTGAATATTAAGTAGATTTATGTTTTTTGTTTTATTGGATTAAATTTACGGTAGAAGAAATGCGTATCTGTGTGGTAAGTAGATAACGTGGAAAAAAGCTATAGGGAACTGGATAAACCCGAGAATATGCGTAATAATAGGGGAATTATGCCCAATGGGCAACCTGTTGCTGTTGGTACCAGTTTTGACTGGGTGCCTAATTAACCAAACGGACAGTTTTGTTTTCATACGATATTAGTCTAGCTGCCGATTTTCCTGCGCCATTTTATTTTTAACGTCAATGTCGGAAAATCGCGTCCTCGGGAAATATCTGCATATTGGATTTAGTTGATATTTACCGCTGAGAAAAAGATACATGACCGGCGATGTACCCTATTCAGACAGCTTGTCTAGCGAAAATTAAGTACCAAATAAAAGGATATATCGTCAATTTGAAGAAAGTTCTCAAAGTACCCAAATTAAATTGATGGTTTATCTTTGAAAACTAAGCAGTCATTGCTTAAATCATGTGGTGGGATCATCAGCAAGCTTGAAAAATCGGACAAAATTAATGATAATTAATGCCGCGGCGTCTTCAATTAATTAATTAAAGCAATTCAGTTCCATATGATGTTTTCATAAATAATAAATAATGTACGCAATAAGATTAATTAAGTTCTTCGTCAAGATATATTTCAGTTGTACCAGCGTGTACACCTTTACCGGAAGTGGGTATAACACGTCACAATCTCGGTCTCGTCTGTCTCGCGAGAATGACAGAACGCCAAAATGGCGGCGCCCATGAACTTATTTCTCAAGTAAAAAATAGTGTCTTAAAATACGAATTTCTCACTTAAAGGGTTGATGTCAACAAAAAAACTGTCATGGTTCCTCTTTTTTAATGATGAATATTTATATTAGACAGACATCAATCCATCCATTCCTATTCCTTTAATGAAATCGGACTTTATAAACGCCTGGCATTATAAATATGCATATAATTAAAAGAGATGCAAATATATTGATTTTTTTTCTTTTCATGAAAAGGCAGCGAAAAAGAACCGAAAGGAACTTGAAAGGTGACACGAACTATTTCTGTATGTCGGATCACCTCGCCGATGTCTGGTTCGCTTTCAAAGACGACACTTATAAACTTCCAGCGCACAAACTTCTTCTAAGCATGCGCAGTGAGGTTTTTGAAGCCATGTTTTACGGGTCTCTAGCGGAAAGTTCAGATACAATCATGCTTGAAGATATTGACATTAGTACGATGAAAATGGTTTTACGGTAAATATTTGTTTGCTAATACAACTTGGCATACATGTATATTCAATTACACAATACGATGATTTGATTTTCTTGTTCAACATTTCAAAATAAAATGCATTGACTGACATTGTCCGATGATCAATTGTTTTAATGTAACCTTATATTCGTAATTGAATAAACTTCAGAAACTTGCTTCAATGAATCCTTAAAGCTTTCTAAGTTTAAATTATGGCCTTTTGGTCAAAAAATTTTCTAATGAGCCACTTAAACAAACAGACTTACATGATTGAAAACTTTGTCCTTTTCCAAAATGTTTTATGGCAGTTTGAAAATGATATTGTTAAGAAGGTTATTCAAAAATCTTGTAAATTTCAAAGAACACCAAATAAAATTTCAGGTATATGTACTCGGATGATATTGAACTGGATGTCAATAACGTTTCTTGCTGTCTTTATGCTGCTAAAAAGTATGCCTTGTATGATATGGCAAACAAATGTGCGAAGTTTTTGGAGACCAAAATCGGCGTTGACACTGCTTGTACCATTTATGAACAAGCGAAACTTTATGACGAGGCCCAGCTTGCAACAAAATGCATCGATTTTATTACCGGCAATTCAAAGGGGGTCTTTCTATCCAAAGATTTCCATACACTTGCTTTTGAAAGTGTTTTGGAAATCGTCAGAAACGGCATTCTGAACGCCGATGAATCTTTCATTTTTGCAGCAGTTAAAGGATGGGCAGAGTCTGAATGTAAAAGAAAAGGCTCAGAGGTCTCACCAGGCAACCTAAGATCATGTATCGGTGAAATAATGTTTATGATTCGATTTCCCCTGATGCCAAATGATGTATTCGCGAAAGAAGTCGAGCCAACTGGAATCCTTACAACTGAAGAACTATTGATGATTTACCGCCACTTGGCTGTTAAAATAGAGGGCCAAGAAGTACAGAATGTTGGAAAGTTCTCGTGTAGTAAGAGAGCTGTAATAAAGAGGTTTGACAAGATGCCTTTGAATCCCAATTATCAAGAGTGTGTCATTTCTCTGAGCGTCTCAAATCCTATACAACTTTTTGCCATACACGGGGACTTTGTACCTCAAGTTGACAAGGTGAATTTTTCTAAGTACCAAAATGAAATTAAATTCGATACAGATGGAGAAAAACTCATACTGCGTGAACCAATAATACTTTCTCCTCACTTTGGAAATGCCCTGATAGGTTTTCATATGAAATCAGTTGATGGGCCCAATCCTGACAAAATTAAATGGTCAGCAAAAGTGAATATTTCCGACGTAATTAAAAGTTCTACTGTCTACATTAGTCGCATTCCATGCACACTACATGCACTGGTGTTTAAGGAGACATAAAAAGCTAATTTGTGCTAACCGGGATTTATAACGTCATAGCTGACAGGAGACAAAATACATTAAGAAGAAATATTATCTTACATAATTGACATTTCAAGTAAGACAAAATCTATTGAAACAATTGAAAGCATAATTATAATCTTGTCCTCAAAGGGGCCTTTTTAACATCTTAAATATACCATAAAGACAGTCTAAGGATTTCAAACACTAATGGAAATCCTTAATTAAGATTTTTTATACTACACTGTATATTTGAAGCCTGTGGTCCAGTGATAACATATAGGGTGTGATACACCTGGATTTCGGTAGAGGCAACTGCATTTTAGTGATTTTAACATTTTTTCTCAAGAATTAGCCAATATATGCAAAGTAAAAGAATGTTTGTGTTAAATAAGTGACAAAAATAAAGATAAATGATGTTTTTATTCAAGTTACAAACTCTGGCCAAGCAATATTATATGTTCCGTATGCATCAAACTCAAGTTTTTCATAGCAAAACATTTAGATGGTAAAATGTTTTAAATTTTCAGAACTTGTTTATATATATCTGGAGATGTTTTTTATTTAAGTTTTATTGGATTTCCTTGATATAAACACTGGTTTTAGTTGTTGGAAAAGATGTGACAGTTTTAGCCTGTGAAGAGGGGAATTAATTAAATTACACGCATGCATTTATTTAAGATAAACATGTAAAAAGCAACGATCACTTGTTACTTGAAGTCACTTTGTAAATTTTATAGGTCCAAAATGGAAACGAAATACAAAAACGTATGTCATATGCAAAAATAATTCCTCTAAATGCCACGAGGGGTGTAGCACTGAAAAATCATAAAAGAATTGGATGGTGAAATTTTCATGAATTTGAAAAAATGTCTTATACTGTTTAGAAAAGAATAAAAGTTATGAAAAGCTGAGTACTGTTGGAGACCAATAGTGTCCGCAATCTTTAAATAGTTATATTTTAGCTCCACGTTTTGAAGGGGAAGAAAGTGGAAGCAATGTCATTACCCGCCCGTCGACTTAAGTTTACCTTTTTTTGGTTAACCTTTAAATCTATTATTATAAACTTCAATATAACATATTGAAACTTTATATGTGAATTCCCTCTCTGGCGTGGGTTGAATCGATCCCCGGGAGATGCTTTGGTAGTTTAGCGCGGAAGAAGGTAGTCTAGTACTGGTGTAACTCTCCAGGAACGATGGTTAGGAAACTATCCGCATATATGACTGAAATACTGTTGGGAAAATGCGTAAAATGAAACAAACAAACAAACAAAATATGTGAATGCAGCTTAATGAGTTGTACATGTCACACCGGTTTGAGTTCAAAAGATTTTTTTTTAACAAGAAAACGAAAATCCACGAATTTAAGAACCCACGAAAATGCCCTTTTTGATAAAACCACGAACTTTCATGCCCACGAATTTAAGTGAATTCGCAGTAATGTGTTTGTTTTGCCCTACACATGTTTGCTTCTACATTCTTTGACACATCGGCTGCAAATGAATTGCTGAACGAAACATTTCAAATTTACGCTCCAGAGACCTCCTTGACTGTTAGGCTGATTGTACTGATGTGAATTGTAATAGACGAATGGTCAGGTATTGTGTCAAGTTACTAGCTATAAGAACAATAATTAATTGAATATTTGCAAAATTAAAGGGTATAAATCTATATCTTATCGAACATTTTTATAAAATTTATAAACAGTAAAATTATATTGGTTCCATTATTATATGGCTGATTCCCGAAAACGTTGTAACATAGAATGTCTCTGTTATTTAATACACATGAAAATTGTACGTAAACAGAATAAAATGTACCGGAACAAAATAGTATTTTGCTATTTTAAGTAGGGTTTTATCCGTTTAGCAATGACTTGTTCATGAGCCACTCGCTTTAACGCTATTTACTGGCCTTTTTATTTTATACAAACATTTTGGAAATTTTCTTTTTTAAAATCCAAAAAAATTTTTGCATCAGATATATAGCGTTAAACACTTAAATGCCGAGTGGAAATTAATTTGCACACGGGCAACCTTTAATAAATGAAATATCACGAGACAACATCAACAAGTTATGAAGCGAACCAACGAAGTTTTAAGTGCGCATGCTTATTGATATAAAACTTTCAGTTTCACTTATCATCTGAAAGTAGGATAGTATCAACAAAACACAATGACAATATTTCATGTCTAAGGGAAATAAATACATTGGAAACTGTATCATCACTTCAAGTTAGGGCTGCTCAAAGAAGTATTTAGAGAATAAAAAGGTTAGCTCACAGAAAGATAGAGGACAGCTCAGATCATCAACATCAATTGATTGATTTTGCGAGTTCAGATGATTGGTCACAAACAGAATCTGATGATGTTTGAAAATTTAGTTGATATGTGCAAGGCAAATGCATTGGAAGTGTGAGATTCTATGCACATTGAAATATGAGCATAGAGAAATCAAAGTGCTGCAGCACTGAATGCGACGGACATGCAACCGGGGAGACATTTAGGTTTTTTTTAGAAAAAAAATAAAACACAAAATATATAACAGAGAAAATTTGTTCCATACAAGGAGCAATATATTTTGTGTCCCAATCTGATAGAATCCAGATTTTCTACTTTCAAGCAGAATGAAATATATGCCTAAAACCCTGGTCAAACTTGTAAATCAGTGTCATTATCGATTTATTCCAAGAAATGATATGTAAATGGAAAAAAAAACTTTCAACGACATATTTCTAAAATAAAACCATGCAAATAGACTTCAAGCATAATACATTATACCACGGATAAATCCGTGATTATACATGTGAGAATGTCATTTAGAATTGCTTCGTGTTTTAACATAGTGGGCATATAGACAATAAAATATAAGTCATTTGTATTTTTATTTCTTTTGGATATGTACGTCTCATTAAAAGTATTTTTGGTTAAAATCATCAGCAATTAATTGTCACCGTATTTTTTAGATTTTTTTTATTTGCAAGGGCCAGAGCACATCGTTTTTATTTTAATCTAAATGTCACAATTTTTTTTTAAAAGCACTATTGTGTTTAGTTGTCCTTTTCATTTTCACACTAAATTACATTTTCAACTTGTTTGCTTCTTACAATTGTATAGAATTTCTAAAAGTATTGCATGTGAACAAAGTAAGTATCCGCTGGTTTATAACATGTATAATGTGTACTCCCTACTGTCCGAAAATCAGCACAGGTAAAGCAGAATCTATATTTAGAATAGCGAAGGTTAACTCATATCGTGACCTAGAAAATGTATCTAATTTATTAATAACTGCTGAATATTCAGCTAAACCCGCGGTATGAGTCACGAAAATAGTTCTTCTTTTATTAATGCGCGAGTTATTCTAGAGTCCAAAAAACTTTTGATTTGTTAATAATAATGTTTTGTATAATGTAGAAATATTTATTTCCTACTAATAATTTCTTGGAACTCAGAGCTTACACCTTTATTATAGTATAATTTGCTGTCCTACTTTTTCGACAGCGGTAAATCGTTTCGGCAGTAATTTGCATAATTGCGCAATAATACTACGGGACTACAACGTTTTTATCAATCATATACGTCCATATTTTAACTTGGATAACTTAATTTGAAATTGAAAAGGCTAAATATGGAAGATTTTAAGATATCCCGACATAGTATGGGAGTTTTAAAGGATCAAATTCATGTACTTTTTCTTGGGCTGTTAATCGGTTGAGGACACTTTGCGCGAGTGTAGCAGACGAAATCCCATGTAGATGACTTAGCTCTGAACGCGCCTGAGGGCGCGTCCGTCGCAAAAATGTAGATGATCAGACAAATATAAAAAGGAAACCAAGGAATAAATTAAAGTGCATTTTAAATAAATCTAAACAAGGCCTCTACGCTTGCAACTGGCGAGAAGGAAAAACCGTGAAATTCATAACTAAGCAAATGATTTCGCTTTTTCTCTCAAAATAAATTTATTTTACAATATCGACACTGATAGTTAGACAGTTCATTCTTAGATGTATATTGTTTTTAGAGGTATAACACAATATTTGCTGGCAACAACGTGATAGCATTTAGGTATTTCATCCCTTTGTCTCTTTTTAAATATAAGTTTGTTTCCTGTTTGAGCATTGTTTAGTCAGTTACACCCATTTCTCTTTGGTACTAGCGCGTCGTGGAGAGGCACAGGGCATCGACAGAACCACGGGTGGGTACAACTTATACTTTCGTACTTCGGTAGCAAACTCCGCGCACCAATTACGCTACGGCCCGTAACCACTGCCTTCACACAAAGCACGTGATGATGGTCTTATCACATGATTGTGTCAAGATGGCGGATACGCCAATGCAATCGTTAAAAATTGTTTTATCTGTAATAAACAGCGACATTATAATTAACTTGAGCTATTGTGTCAAATCAGTCGATATAATTGAAAAATAATCATTTTTGTTAGGTGTAGAATCGAAAGTAATTATCACTTGAATGCTGTCCCGTTTGAGAGGGACATTTGTTTTGGAAATAAACGGTGCGATGTTAAAACTTTCAAAAATTATTTTCATAATACAGTAAAAACCCTCAATTAAGACCACCATTGGGACTGGGCCAAGGTGGTCTTAATTGCGGGGTGGTCTTAATTCTGAATATTCTAATCGATGCTTACACTCTTTTTGACCATGGTCTATTTTAAGCATTTTTAAGAACAAACAATATATATATCAGCAACTGCAACATAAAACTATGTTATAAATTAGCATCTGATGGAAAGAAAGAAATATCAAAATGTATTTTGTCTGATTTCAATATCAATTTCAATATATTAATTACAGTAAAAACCCTCAATTAAGACCACCATTGGGACTGGGCCAAAGTGGTCTTAATTGCGGGGTGGTCTTAATTCTGAATATTCTAATCGATGCTTACACTCTATTTTCATAATACATGTATTTATGTTTCCAAAATTATTTTTTATTTTAGTTCACATCTAACACCTTACGGTCTTGAAACATTAGCAAAACCGTGTTTACTTTTTAAAATAAATATCAAAATTGATAAAATAATATCGTCAAAAATCTTGACGAAAATGTTGTGATGGCAGAGATCTAATCCTGTAAGGGGAGATCACTGCGTAGTAGATTGCTTCGGTAGATCCAACTTTGTATTTACCACTGCTCTTCAAACTTGAAAAGCAGCTGACGATGTTCTGATTGAAGCCGACGGCAGTTGCCTAACAAGGTAACGGGACGACGTGTACGAGTAATATTATGCATGAGCCCCTAGTACCAGAAGACGGCATGAAATGGGACGCGTAGCACTACGAGAATGTAGCTGGGACGACGAGAAAAAGTGCTAGGTAACGTGAGCACCTTGCACACATAGAAGGTATGCTTTTAGCTGGCATAACAGCCCTCATCAGGGCTACCCTTACTTGCCTTCCTTTCACAGGATACGATTCATTCTAAGTCTCATGGATATGATGGCCGCCGGTAACGTTCATTTCAAAGCCGCGAGAATATTTATCGAAATTGTATAAAATGTCGTATAAAATGTCGCTGCTTATAGAAACTCTCGAACTTCTGTCGTAAAAGGTCGAGTTTTTACGAAGGAAACTGCGACATTTTCTGTCTATATACAAAGTAGACTAAGCCACGCATACGTATGCCTTCTTTTCTGTCTATGTACATAGTAGACTAAGCCACGCATACGTATGCCTACTTTTCTGTCTATGTACATAGTAAACTAAGAAAAAAAATAAGCGTATAGTAATAAATAACGTTTAAACAAAATTTCTTGGGTTTATTTCTATATAATATATTATATATCCAGAAATTGTTCGTTTTACTTACTATACACTTGCAAAGAACATTTGTAGACTGCAGACCTTCGAACAAAATTTTATATGGAATTCTACGATAACAGATGTCAATAAAATGATTGATTTGGTATCTTAAGTGCAGAAAAAAAGCTTATTTTCATTTATTTTGGTACCAAATTATACCGCTTCGTGTGGATTACTATCGCTGAATGTGCAATTTTCACACAATTCAAACAATGTTCTCAAAAACCACAAAACGTAGAATAATGCACTTTGTATTGTCATTTGAAGAAAATTTCCGCGCATATGATACGCTAGGTTTTGTTTTGATTTAAGAAACGTTTGTCA